AAAAAAAAAAAAAAAAAAAAAAAAAAGTCAGGAGAAGGATACACTCTTAACTGAAATCAAGGAACAGAATGGTGTGGATAATGAGTGAATACTTGTGTGCAGGAAAAACAAAGTCTGAAGGAGACGTAAAAATCATTAATGGCACCTAGCACTGCGGATGGGGAGCTGGGTGGCTGTGTGATACAGGAGGAAATGAGACTGTATGGCTCTTGCGTGCCTTTTGAATATTTTACCATGTGCATATATTACCTTTTCAAAAAAAATTTTAATGGCAGGATTTCACACATAAATTCAGATTTCCGGTGTTTCTTGAAAAAAATTGAAAGCTTTGACAATGCTAGGTCACAGTCTGTTGTGGTCACCATCGATAGGAGGAGCTGAGCAGTGCTGCCTCTTTGAGCTGGCGTCTGAAAGTCCGCCCCTGCCCCTGCTCCTGCCTCTGTCTTCCACTCACTGTGGTCCTGGAGACACTTGCGTGGAGGCCCGTGGAGTGGCCTTTGGTTTGGAGGGAGAGGCTCTGGCAGTGTCAGGCATTAGGAGGAACTTAGCTAGAGCGCATCTAGTCCAGGCTTTTCCTTTGGGGTCCATGAGGTCTGGGGAGCCCATGGATGCGTCTCAAGGGACACTCTACCCCCCCCAACATTTTTTATTAAAAATCTATGATTAAAAATGTGTATTTCTCCTAGAGACACAGTTGATAGTTTTTATCAGATTCTCAAAGGGTTTATGACCCCAAGAGAGTTTAAGCCGATGGGGAACCTGAGAACACAGAGGTTGATCTCAGGTCACTTGGCCACAGATCACAGATTTGGGGAGTAAGACCCTGACTCCAGAGCCTGGGCTGTATACCAACTGCCCTAATTTTACCCTTGTTGCTGGAAGGAAGGGGGGGCAGGTAGTTACAGGCTATTCTGTACAACTGTTTTTGGTGAGCAAGAGGGTGGTTTGAATCCTTCCCTGCAGCAGCATAGTAGGATGTGAGTGAGCTTGGGGCAGGGTCTCCTGTTACCTCCCTGCACCTCTTCACCCCTGATTTCATTCTTCCCTCCCTCACAGAGGCTGGGGAGCAGCAGCATGCAGCCGGAGGAGGGCACAGGCTGGCTGCTGGAGCTGCTGTCCGAGGTGCAGCTGCAACAGTACTTCCTGCGGCTCCGCGACGACCTCAATGTTACCCGCCTGTCCCACTTTGAGTATGTCAAGAATGAGGACCTGGAGAAGATTGGCATGGGTCGGCCTGGTAGGTGGGCACGTTGGCCTTGCTCGTCATTTCCCCACTGATCATTTACCTCCTCTGTCCTCAGGATCGCCAACCACATGGAAGAGCCCTCCCCGCTTTATTCCATGGGGTGGCATAGCTGAGAACTCTCCCTGCCTGTCCAGGAGCCCCCGAGTTGGGGTGGAGGGGCCTCAGTAGATGCCGCACACAGTGAGTGCATGAGAACAGTTTGCACTTGTAAAGGTGAATTGGAGTCCGAGGAGTCTTATACTTAAAGCTCTGACTACCACCCCTTTCTGTTTGTTCAGTCATTTTTAGGATGTATTTCCTCCATCTTCTCCTTTATACACATAGAATTGAGTCTGTTCTGGTCACCATTCTGAACATCTCGAGGGGTCAGTGTCCAGAGATCTGTATGAAGAAGGGAAGATTAAAAACTCTCAGATGGTTCGCTGATTTTCTCTTTATCTGTCTCTTTCTCTCTCTCACAAAGATCTGCTGTGCATTGAACTCATCTCTCTGTCTGTCTCCCATGCACAATGATTTGCTCTATAAGTTGAACTCATTTCTTTTCTCTGTATTGATCCTAAAAGTAGTGATTGCAGCATCTAGAAGCCAGTGCCCCTTGTAGAACATTAGAAACGTATCCGTGCATTCAACTTAAAAATGGCTAAATAAGTAATAATGTGCTAAATTAGACTTAATGCTACTGTTGGCCTGGATAGTTGGTGTCTGATGCCAGTAACATATAAAATTTTATTGGAGAAAAACTAAAAATTGGGAAAATTCTATCCATTACCTTGATTTCCTTTTTTTCTGCGAGTTGGGAAAAGAGCACTACTGTTCAATTTTGGTGGTTAAACACCTCCATCCTGTTCATCCTGTTCAGGAACCACCGTCTGGAAATGGAGTGCAGTGACTGGTTAATTGCAGCCCCTGGTTGGTTGGGATGGTTTGTTTCCTTGGTGTCCCTGTGCTGGGCAGTACCTACCGGTGGGCTCACCCCAGGGGACCAAGGAAGCCTGCAGATGGGAGCAATCTCTTCCAGGGGACATGAGCAGCCTTAACAGCTTGAGTTTCTCCTTCCCTCCCTCAGGCCAGCGTCGGCTGTGGGAGGCTGTGAAGAGGAGAAAGGCCCTGTACAAGCGCAAGTCCTGGATGAGCAAGGTGGGTGGCCAGGGAGTGCCGGGCTGGGCAGCTGTGCAGGCGGGCAGGCGGGCCTTCTCTGATGCCAGTCCTAGGCAGCGCCCCCATTCCCACGCAGTGTAATCTCGCACTTTGTACAGACTTCCCTCCTCTGAGGCCTTATCGGGCAGGGTACTTGTAGAGCTGCCTGGCTAAGTGTCTGTGTCCGCCGGAGACAGCACGTGAGGAGCCTGTGTGTAGCCATGGCTTCACAGCCCCATCCGCTGTGCGTGATGCTGGGCTTGGGACAGGCACTGGCTGACAAGCGTACCATAATGGGAGCTCGCGCTCTGAGGGTTAGGGCCCGTGTCCAGTCCCCAGGTGCTGGGGACCACCTGGACCCAGGACATCTTTGTTTTGCTTCGCTACTCCCCTACCCTCATTAGTCTCTGGCCAACTGGCCTTGGTGACAGCCTCTTTCTCCATAGCCCCTCCTCCCCCCTTTGCCCTAATTTGGGTCTGTGGAGCAGTGAGTCCCTGGTCTGACTCAGTGGAACTTTGCCCATTGTCTGGAAGACAATGGGAGAGGAAGTGAACCAGCCAAGGCCTTCCCTCCCCGCTTCTGGCCTGGGGGGGGGGGCTGGAGTGGGGAGCGGGCAGGGCAGAACAGCTGGACTGGGATTGGGCAGCCGAGACTTTCTGGCTGCGATCTGCAAAAAGGGCTGTCTCTTGGGATCCTGTGGCCTTTTCTGGGGACACTGTCCTGGTCCCTTGCCCAGGTTTTAGGGAAGGTTGAGCGTGTTGGGGCGGGTGAAGGCAGGAGAGCAGAGCTGCAGGGTGCCAGGATCCAGGGGTTTTGGATCTACCACCGACTCACAGGAGGTTCCTGGGCCATTCAGTGAGCCTCTCTAGACAGGAGGCACGTCTTCAGTAAGACAGCACTGGCCCCACTGGCCCAGCTCACCTCACTGAGGCTGTCAGAAGGGCTCTTGTCAGCTGAACATTGTTTGCAAATGTAAGGGATTCCAGTTACTGGGAGGAAGGGGACAGCGGCCAAAAGAGGCCTTCAGATTGGAGACCCCTGTACAGATAAGGCTCTGCCAGCCTTGGGGTCAGGGGCCCAGCTGGGCAGACTCCGCAGCCTGAAGCCAAGGCTTTGGATGCCCTAGTAGGAGTGGCCAAGTCAAACTGAGGCCCGCTCTGACCCTCAGGGTCTCCTTCCTCCTGTCCCCTCACCTTTGGCCCCTTCCCTCTCCAGCCCAGGCTGCAGAGTTCTCTTCAATCTTCCTTTTTTCTCAGCCCTCAGCTCTAGGCACCCCTCCAGAAACCCAGCTGTCTTCCCAGGTCCTTCCCCAGCAAGGCCTTGCTTCATCTGCACCCCCCACACACTCATGATCCAACCTCAGGCTCAAATTATCCTCTCCCCTGGCAGGATGAAGGGCAGCCGACTCCCCGGGGAGGGTGGAGACAGACAGCGCCAAATGGCCAGCCCAGAGAAGGGGCCAGGGCTAAAAATGGACAGAGAGGTGTTTGTGGCGGGCCCCTCAGGCTCCTGCCCATCTGCCACGTTAGGGGCCGGAGTCTGTGCTGGGTAGGGGTACAGTGAGGGATGGGTGGGGCAGAAGGGGGTACCTGGAGTGGCTTGGCGCTGTCCCAGACACCCCGCCCCCAGCTGGATGTGGGGCCACAGCAGCCACAAGCTACATGCTTGTCAGTCCATTTCTGGCACATACACCCTGAGGCCACACTGAGGCTGTGGGTTTCTGTTTGGGGGTGGGCCTCCAGCCAGGCTGCCCCCTGGCAGTTTGGCAAAGCCAGGACCTATCTGGAGGCCTCGCTGAGGACCCAGTAGGGCAGGACTGAGTGACTGGCTCCGGGGCCTCAGGGTTCCATCTGGCCCCTGGCTACCTTCAAACAGGTATTCAGTGGAAAGCGGCTGGAGGCTGAGTTCCCTCCTCATCACTCTCAGAGCACCTTCCGGAAGACCTCGCCCACCCCAGGGGGCCCAGCAGGGGAGGGGCCCCTGCAGAGCCTCACCTGCCTCATTGGGGAGAAGGACCTGCGTCTCTTTGAGAAGCTCGGAGATGGCTCCTTTGGTGTGGTGCGCAGGGGCGAGTGGGATGCCCCCTCAGGGAAGACGGTGAGCTTTCTGGGTCCTGTGGGGCTTGGCAAAGGGACAGGCCCCTCTGCCCTCAAAGGTGGATCTGTCTCCTCTGCTGGGATGCGAAGGGAGCTGGGGACAAGTTGCAGAGCGGCTCACCCCAGAGTCCACGCTCAAGTTTTAACTAGACACGTCTGTTTCTTTTTTTAATTACAAAAATAATTTACTTATTATAAAAGTCTGGAAATATTTAAAAAGAAAAAAAAAGTGCCTGTAATCCCACCACTCAGAAGAAACACAGTTAGTATTTCTGCCTTTTCTCCCCCCTCAGGTATTTTGTTGAATTTAGTTTCAAGATATAAATTTTGGATGCTTTTTAAATCTTGTCCCTTCTCTTGGTATTGTATTTAAAAATTTTTTCCCAGAGGGATAGATCGCATATATACGGTAAAGCATATAGTTCTTAAGTGTACATCTCAGTGCATTTTTACAGATACGTAGAGCCAGGTAACTATGCCCAGATGGTGATATACACCATTTCCAGCACCCCAGAGCCTCCCTGTGCCTCTTTACTGAGTAGCCCCATCCTCCAGAGGAGGCCTCTCTTCTGACTTCTGTCACCATGGATTAGTGCTTTGGCATTATATTTAAAGCATTTTTTCTTTTTTATATACCAAGTTTGTTTTTTAATGTAACATTTTTAATATCCTATCCTCATACTGGTTCTTTCTTACCTAATGCTTGCTATTTAACCTAGGCATTCTCCCAGAAAGGGGCGGTCCAGTGGATGGCCCCTGGGGGTCGGCCAGCTGCCCTCCCCAACCAGGCCAAGGCGTCTGTGACCCATCCAGATGAGCAGATCTGAGGCTGGGATAGTTGAGCTGAGTTGAGGGGAGGAGCAGGTTGGCTCAGAGTGTTGGGGGCTGGGGCCTATCCTGACTTCCTGCAATCCCTGCTCTGGGCAGGTGAGTGTGGCTGTAAAGTGCCTGAAGCCTGACGTGCTGAGCCAGCCAGAGGCCATGGACGACTTCATCCGAGAGGTCAACGCCATGCACTCGCTTGACCACCGAAACCTCATTCGCCTCTACGGTGTGGTGCTCACACCACCCATGAAGATGGTGAGGATTGTGGGTAGGAGGGTCCTGTAGTCCTTAGGCCCTCCCCTCCTCCTGCTGTGCTGTGGTTACTCCCTCCATCCTGATGAAGGTCTGAGGTCCCTCAGATCCTGCTTTGGCCCCCCATCTGATGGGACAAAGGGGCTCACAGGGGTCTCGCCTGGTACCGACTGTGTCCGCTGGAGCCCGTGTCCATGTCTGCATTTTGCTTGTGGTCATTGGCATGGAGTTGTACCCATGAGAGAAGCCAGCCCTGGAGTTTAGTGCCTGGAATTTCTAACCTGGGCCTCTTTGGGTTGTTTCTCTGAGCCTCAGTTTCCCACATTACCTAGAGGGAAGCTGTAGGACTTCTAGAGATCCCCAAAGAATGGTCCAGGAAGGTTCATTGAGCATGGTCTGGCAGGCCTCCAGGAGAGGACTGGGAGCCCAGCATAAGGAGCTGAGGGAGGGCCAGGGCTCCACCACGCTTATTCCTGCCTCCTCTGTGGCCTCAGGTGACAGAGCTGGCGCCTCTGGGATCGTTGTTGGACAGGCTTCGCAAGCACCAGGGCCACTTCCTTCTGGGTACTCTGAGCCGCTATGCTGTGCAGGTGGCTGAGGGCATGGGCTACCTGGAGTCCAAGCGCTTTATTCACCGTGACCTGGCTGCCCGCAATTTGCTGTTGGCCACTCGAGACCTGGTCAAGATCGGGGACTTTGGGCTGATGCGAGCACTGCCCCAGAACGACGACCACTATGTCATGCAGGAGCATCGCAAGGTGCCCTTTGCCTGGTGAGGGGCAGGCGGTTCGGGCTTCTGGGGCCTGGACCCCACCCTGGCCCCCCCTGGGTCCCGCATACCCATGTCTCAGAGCTTCCAGCGCCTCAGTACCCACAGCAGCCCTTGTCATGTGCCCATCCAGTCACTCACCCACCTGGGGGGTTCCTGTGTGTCAGGCACTAGAAGACACAGGGTTAAGTGCTGTGGGGACTCAAAGACTTCCTGGACGACTCAGTATTAAGCTCCTGAAATAACAAGAGACGTTAGCTAGGCAAAGACTGGCTGGTAAGCATATTCCAGGCAGAGCTAGTGGCAGGCAGGGCGGGGCCAGGCTGGGCCTTGTGGACTGCGAGCAGGGCTGTTGACCTGCTATGGGGTGGTGCCTGGTCTTGCCCTGCCTCCTGTGTGAGCTGATCCTATGCTGAGACCATCGTGGTCGTCAGGTGTCAGAGGCACCCAAATGAGTATAGCTTCCCTGCTTTGGGGTGGGAGGAACCGGTCCAGTTAAGCTTGCCAGAATACCCTTCTAATTCAGGATGTATGGTCATACTACTTAGTAACTGACCTTATACCTAGGAGACCATACATCTTGCATTATGCCTGTTGTCCTGGAGTAATTAATAGCACTTCCTTTCATACTCAAACATCCTTGTGTAGATGGTTGTTTGAAGGGGGCTGCGTCAAAATAGGTGCAGCCCTATTTTTATGCAGCTCCCTTCTGTGAAGTGAGCAGATTATTATTATTCCCATTTCACAGACAAGGACCGTGAGGCCTAGAGATCTTGAGTGACTTGCCCTGAGTCCTGTCCCCTTTGAGTAGCAAGGCCAGCCCTACAGTCTCATCAGAGATCCTTTGCCTCTCCATCCAGAGAGGCTTCCCCCTCACTCTCTGCGCTTCAGCGCCCCCTGGAATATCCCTTCGCCATCTTCCCTGCAGTGGCGTTTCTCCTCCTCACCCAAGAGGGCATCCCAGAGGAAGTGTGTGGATATTTAGGTGAAGCCACTGTGACTATTTCCATCCACTTTGGTTCTTCCCCAGGCCCTATCCAGATTTCCCACCCACACCTTCCTGCTGAAATGACCCAGATGCTAGGATCCTGTCCAAAATCTGGAAATTGTCATCCTCCCACCACAATTAGAAAACAGCCTGAGCTCTTCTCCCCTTCCCCTCCCCCTTCCCCCCTCTGAAGCCTCTGACCTTTTCCCCCTGCTTGCCTGACCTGGGAGCTTCACCCTCTTCCAGTCCCAGGCCACATGGGGGTAGAAGACCTGAGCATAGGTGGTCAACTCCAAACCTGTGTACTCCTTAGTCAAGATGTCCTGCCCCATCCCTTTCATACCATGTCCCTAGTACCTGCTGTTGAACTTGGCACATAGGGCAACAACATGCGTGTTGAGCGTTTTATGTCCATTGGGGCTGGTGTGGGTGTGGGTGCCCTGAGAGGCCTCCTGTTTGACTCCTGCCTCTGCCAGGTGTGCCCCTGAGAGCCTGAAGACACGCACCTTCTCCCATGCCAGCGACACCTGGATGTTTGGGGTAACGTTGTGGGAGATGTTCACCTATGGCCAGGAGCCCTGGATTGGCCTTAATGGCAGTCAGGTGAGGAAGCTGGGGATGTGCTCCTTGTAGGGTAGGTAAGGGTTGATTTGATCCCTGGCTCCCAACCTGGCCCTATTAGAACTGGCTTTTACCTGCTGGAATCCTGTCCCTCACACTCCATGTCTGTGTGACCTCTCAGCTGAGCAGAGAGAAGGGCCCCCAGTGGTCAGGCGAGGGACGGGCTATGGCTTGCTCCCATTCTCAGCCCTTGCTACACCCACCTGTCCAGAGGCCCCAGACCTGGGGATAAAGGCCAGAGGCCTGGGGAGAGACCCTGCCCCCAGAGGCAGACCTCTTCTTCAGGGTGCATTGCTGCCTGCAGCCCCACTTTTTCCATGGGCTGGAGGGAAGGTTGGAAGTGAAGGCTGGGTGCCCTGCTTGTCCTCAAACTGCACCACCCCCTCCAGATCCTGCATAAGATTGATAAGGAGGGGGAGCGTCTGCCCCGGCCCGAGGACTGCCCCCAGGACATCTACAATGTCATGGTCCAGTGCTGGGCTCACAAGCCAGAGGACAGACCCACCTTTGTGGCTCTGCGGGACTTCCTGCTGGAGGTGAGGGCAGGTCTTCCCACGGGGCCCAGGTATTCAAGCAGGGGTCAGTCCCAGGGTGGGCAGTGACCTGTCTCTGCCCTCAGGCCCAGCCCACTGACATGCGGGCCCTTCAGGACTTTGAGGAACCAGACAAACTGCACATCCAGATGAACGATGTCATCACCGTCATCGAGGGGAGGTAGGGAGCATGGGGGCTGCGTCTGCACCGCTAAGGGTGCCTGTCAGCCAAGGGCCCTTCTGCCTGCAAGGCCCCCATGTCATCACACAGGCTGTGCTGGGCATGACGGGAGGGCATGCCTGGGTTTGCACCTGAATGCTTGGGGTTAAGGATGCAGGTGCTGCTGCTCTTGAGGGGATTTCCCCTGCGTCATGCCGCCTCTGTCACCCTTTTCCCAATCAGCTCCAGCCCTGGCTGTGTGGGCCAGGGCCAAACTGCCATTACGGCAGGAGGCAGCCAGGCCTCAGGGCCACAACTGGAGACTGGAACCCCTAAACATTCCCCCTCTAACCCTCTTCTTCCCTTTCCCTTCCCGCCTCCTCCCAGGATAAGGACTCTTGACTACCCACCTGGGTGCATTGCAGTACCCAAAGCAACCTCACCCTCTTCCTGATAGCTTCTGCCCTCCCACTGAGCCCCACTGCTCGGGGCCCTGGGCTCCCCTCCATCCTCTGCTTGGCCTCCCACCCTGGCCTCTGTCCCCAGGCTCCGTGCAGGGCCTCTCTTCCTGACCCCACCCTCCCCTTCACACCTGGCAATACAAGTCTGTGCCTATAGGCACCATCTCCTGAGTCATGTCTCCCATTGCTGCCCCCGCCTGCTGTGGAGCCCCACCCGCTCACCCCACCCTCTGTTATCTGAGCCTCAGGTGTCTGAGGAACTGGTTGGGGTAGGGCAGGCTTGAGGTGCCTTTGGGGTAGGGGCTGAGCATGGAAGGGCAGGAAGAGGAGGGAGGCACTCCCAGTGCCTCTGACTTAGAGCCAGGCACGGATGCAGGCAGGGGCTGCTTCCCACAGAGCCCTTTCTACCTGGACTTCAGGTGTGGGGGGTCTGGGCCTTTGCTTAAACCTTGTACCGCGTGGGGGCTTGGTGACAGGAGAGCCTCTGGGTCTGAGTCAGTGATGGCATTCGTCCTGGAACCCAGATTGGTTGTGGAGGAACATGACCTGCACTTGTGGTGGCCCTAGCACCTCGCCTTTGGGCACAGTATCTGGGAATAAAAATAATATACCAACAACTTAGTGGCAGTGGATGAAAGCAGGAAGCTGGGAGAGAGGCCTGTGGTTTGGAGCTGAAAAGCCAGGGAAGGGACGGCAGGCCTGGAACTCAGGAGAGCATTCTGGAAACAGGGAGATTAGGGTGAGAGCCCCTCTGGAGGTGCCTGGCGGGGACCGTAAGCCAGAACTCTGGGCCTGCAACCACTTCCGCTTCCAGGAGCCAGAGGGCCTTGGACCTGACCCCTCTGTAGTCCCCTGTCCTTCCCCCATCCCTTGCTCTCAGTGGAGGCCTGTATGCCAGGGCCCAGTGAGGGGGTGACTCAGGAGCTTCCGGTGTTTCTGGGCGTGTGTCTCTTGAGCTGGTGCCCTGGGTTACCTCTGGATGGAGGCGGGCAAGGGGCGGGGTCAGGAGCCCTGCCCTTCAGTCACAGGCTCCCTGCTGCCTGCCACTGTGGGCTTGCTGGGCTCCTCCTCCACGGCCTCCAGGGCCACCGGCCGACTTGGACCACAGTGCCTGTCCTTGGTCCCTGGAGCTGCTCAGGAGGTGGGAGGTGAGGGGCAGGAGGCCACAACAGCCGGTGGGGCTTTGGGAGTGGGCCTGTGTATCGGTGGGAACAGAGCTTTAACTCTGCCCCCTTATTTTCTCGGTGCCCAGACCTCTGTTTGTTTGGCTGGCGCTCTGTCTCCATGTCTCCAGGTGGATGGGCTCTGTGTGTGTGGGTTTATATACGTGTGGGTCCCTGGCTGTTTCTGTGTCTGCTCTTAGCCTGGCTCTCAGCTCTCTCCATATCTGCTCTCCTGTTGGTTTTGGATGCCTTCTGGCGGAAGCTGTCTCCAGTATTGTTTCTGACTCCAGAATCAGGGAACCTCCTTGCCCCTGGCTCTGATTGGTTCTGCAGGCTCAGTGCTTCTCGGGGTAACGGGCAGTGGCCAGAGAGACACCTTGATGTCCTGTGAGCCAAGCTTATGAGGCTCAGTCTAGACTGAGGGACAGACAATGACTGCTCTTTTCCAGGGGGTCTTATTTGGAGGCTGGGAAGGCTGGCAGCCCTTTCACGTTCTGTGTTTACGGAATTGGAGAAGGGGGACAGAGGTTTTGAAATCCCTCTGCAGGTCCTTGGCCTGGCCTGGTCCCTGGAACCTCTGCTTCCTGTGGTCGGTGGGGGAGGGGGAAACAAGGGTCTGTGTTATTCCTCAAGGCCCGGGGCTGCCTGGGACACTCAGAGAGGAGTGGGTGGCGTGGTGTTTTAAGCAGAATGTTGAAGCAACATTTGTCAGCCATTCTGGACTACCTTAGGCCAGGACTGGGACAAGGGGCTAAAATTTTAGGAGCTGGTCCCCCATAGAGCTGGAGCCACCTTAGGCAGTTCTCAGCCCAGGCCTCGGTTTCTTAGATGCTGCTTCACTGTTTGCTTGCCCCAGGATGCTGACAGGCAGCAGGAAGTAGAGATTTCTTGTTGGAGGTGCTGGGCCCTTTTCTCACTCCCCTTGGGACTCCCCTTCCGTGCCTGTGTCTATCTTTGCCGCAGTGGTGGGCCTGGCCTTCCTGTTGTTGCCATGGAGACTCTGGCCTATTGGTGGACAGGGAAGAGAAGGTGTGGCCAGAGCAGGCTCCTCGAAGGACTGGGCTTGGACCTCTCTGGGCTGCTGGTCCCCTGGCCCCATTGAGTCTCAGAGGGAGACACGTGGGCAGTTCAGCGCAGCAGTGGCCATCTCATTGGCTATCTCAGGTTACATTAGAGCTTTGTCAGGCTGATGTGCTTGGGGTACAATTGCCAAGGGACTTCTTTCTCACACACACTCAATACTTCTACTCCCTCTCCCAGGAGCAAAGATGTTTTTGGGAAGTGGTGTCAGGACCCCCAACAGTCATGGAGGCTCTCGCCTTGGCCATAACCAGTGATGAAGGGAGGTGGGCTTGGTGTCCCCTCTCGCTCTCAGAAGTGGGTCCAAAGGGGGCTCCTGTGTGAGGAGCTTGGCTGTGTTGGCAAAAGGGAAGAGCGCAGGGAGTGACCTCCTGCCGGTCTGGCTTTGCTCAGGGGTCCACACAGGGAGGGCGTGGTCATGGCCTTGGATGTAAGTCTGTTCCATGCACTGCATCTCCGCCTCAGCTGCATTTCCCACCCAAGTTCATGAACACTTCTGAAGAGGTGTGGAGAGCAGAGTTCAGTATCCAGCCCTGGGGCTGGTGTCTGACACGGTTCTGTGGAAGGGCATGCAGAACCCAGGGAGCCAGCGAGTGTTGGGGGAGAGCAGCAGTAAGGGTCCCTCAGTGCCCGTGCTTCCCCACCCTCTTCACAGGCGGCCCTCAACCTCGGCTGGCCCTGGGGGGCAGAGGGGAAGCATTTTTCTCCTTGGAATGGCTCTGCTATTTTCAGATGAGCTTTGTCTCTTCCTGGGTGTTGGCCTCTCTTCTTCCTTCCTTTCCTGCCCTTCCCACCCAGAGGGCAGGGTGGTAATCACAGGGTTGCTGTGTCTGTGGTGGGCCCGTCAGCGGCCTTGTTTTAAGGAGGCTGGGCTCCTATCCCTCCCGCTCCTCACCTCTCAGCTTCCCAAGGACTGCTGTGCTTGTGGAGTTTCGACTTTCCTCTCTGGAATAGGCTGTTTGGGGGTCATGATGCCCCAGTGGGCCCCATCACCTCACGGAGGAGGGTTCAGGTGCTCAGGCCTCACTGCCTCCTCCCAACCTCCAGCACCCCCCCCACACACACACACACACACTCATCCCGCCCCGCTGGTCTAGCTGCAGTTTGGAGGAGACCTTTCTTTACGTTCCTGGCTGCGGACAGGCGACGTATGGGTAGGGGTTGACAGTGGGGGCATACAGCTTGGTGCCACACGTGTCTACCACAGCAGCATGAGGCTGTCAGCACCTCTGCCTTAGCCCAGATATTGCCCATGTTATCAGGGGTGAGTGATCCCAGCAGCAGACTCAGGAGCCTCTCGGCCTGTTTGCTTTTTGGTGTTCAAAGTGTCCAGGAGGCGCTCTGCTCTCTCTTGCTTGCCTGCCTGCCCCCACCCCGCCCCTACCCCAGGGGGCTTAGGCTGCATAACAGGTTTTGTATGTGAGGTCAGAACAAGGAGCTGGTGGTCCAGCCACACTGGGAGGCTGGGTTCCCTCCTGGACCCCTTGTGTAAGACAGGAGTAGAGCTCTTCCCAAGGAAGTGGATGGGACATGGGTGAGGGTTCCCCCAGCCCTGCCAGGGGCTAGTAGAAGGTATTAGAGAAACATAAACTGGTGATGTGAAGGCATGGGTTGCCCCAAGTGGTTCCAAATGCATGAAGAGCTGCATGCAGGCTGTGATTGGAGGGCTTGGCCTCAAGCCCAGTGCTAAGGCTGTGGTGCTCCTTGGGCCCCTGAACCTCAGAGCTCTTGGAACTGAGCTGAAGAGGAAAATCGGGTGGCCCAAAGAGGACAGACACCAGGCTTTGCCACGGGAGGAGGGAGGCAAGGTGGTATTGTGAGAAGGGCGCTGGCTTCCTAGACGAACAACTAGATTTGAATCCTGGGTCTGCTGCGATCTTTCTGGTAACTGTAGGCAAGTCACGTCACTTGTTTGAACCTGTTTCCTTATTTGTTAGCTGTAGGAAAAGCTGTCTCACCCACCTAGGTAGCTTACAGTCAGGCTGTGTGCAAACAGCCAGGCCCTGCACTGGGGGAGTGGCAGGTGATGGGGGGCTGCTGGGAGGAGGCAGGCTGATGGTGGACCACCCTGATCCTGGGGCCTTAGCCCCCATGTTCCCTTCTGCCAAGATGGTTAGATATCATAGTTAAAGAGCTTGGTATGGAAAGGGTCCCACTCGTTGGGGCTGTCACACCACACCCTGCTGTTCATCTTTGTTGGGCAGGGCTGAAAATTACTGGTGGCGTGGGCAGAATACTCGGACGCTGTGTGTGGGGCCCTTCCCTCGCAATGTGGTGACCTCCGTGGCTGGCCTGTCGGCCCAGGACATCAGCCAGCCCCTGCAGAATAGCTTCATCCACACGGGGCATGGCGACAGCGACCCCCGCCACTGCTGGGGCTTCCCCGACAAGATCGATGAGTGAGTACTGGGCAGGGCCCTGTCAGGGGCTCCAGGGCCAACAGCCCCTCCCTGGGCATGCAGGCACTTTTAGGCTTCCAAGGTCCCATTATAACCGTGGGATAGAGGGTCTCATTGACCAGCAGCTTTTCCCTGTAGGCAGAACCAGGGCTAGGAGCTTCAAAGGATGGAGCCGGTGGAAAGGCCCCCGGGCTGCAGCCTTAAGCTCTCCTGGCACACGGGCCCGAGGAGAATGGACTTGGGAACAGCTTTTCGAAACAGCTCAGTAGGGAAGCTTTTCTCATCATCCCCAGCATTTGAGTAGCAGTTTCCCTTTTCTTGCTGATAGTAGCAGAGTCCAGGAGATGGGAACCTGCCAGGTCAGGTCCAGGGGTGCAAGGCCCAGAAGGAGCTCCCTGTGAGGAAACTTCAGAGCGAATGTTAGGCAGCAGCTCAGTGCCCCACCTGCCTGCTCACTCTGTACCCTGGAGGAGTGTTCATTCTCCTTTAAGCGAAAGGATGAGGTCACCGAGGGGCGTCTAGGGAGGACACAGAGGAGAAGAATTAGTCACTTCCTGGGTGCCCTGCCCCTGGGTTCCACCTGGCAGCTCCTGACGCCAGGCCTCAAGGCCTCTCTGCTGGTCCCCAGAGGCCAGCTCTCGGCAGCACTGTTCCTGTGACTTCTGACACATGCCTGGGTGGCATGGTGAAGCAGGCCCTTCACCTCCATGCTCCCACACACCTGAACACCTAAGTGCTGGGAGGGAGGCCCGTGTGGCTCTTGCTCACAAGAGCCAGGTGAGGGCATGAGAGCGTTGGGGCAGGAGAGCACAGACCCCCCCCCCGCAAGGGGGCCTGGTGCCCTCTGCCCTGCTCCTGGCGTGCCGTGGCCAGCCCAGCCCCATTCCTCCAGGCTTTAATCAGCCCCAGTGACTAAGGCCCAGATCCTGACAGTCAGCACAGGGGTTGAGGGTGAGTTGAGAGCAGGGCGGGCGGCCCCACCCCTGGCAGTGGGGCAGAAGGATGTCTCCTGCCCACCCTGACTGGGGAGTGTAGCCAGATGCCTCTGGGCCTGGCAGGAGAGACGAGAGTGTGCCAGCAGGTGGCTGCTGCCGGGCGTGGGTTGGGGTGCCACGGGGGTTGCAGAGGGCTAGCTCTGCCCTTGTAGGGTGTTCGTGGAGCCCCTGCAGTCCTAGGCTTTCCAACCTGCAGTCAGGAGTCCTTTTCTTGCCCTCTTTCCACGACACCCTCCCTGGTTACAGCTTAGCTCTATAGAAGGGAGCTGTCGGGAGTCCGAAGTCCTGTGTTGCAGACCCACATCTGCATGGGGCTTGGACAGGGTGGTCCCCTAGATGTATGACCCCAGGGGACAGGCCCAACACCCCCTCCAGAGGCTTCCTCACTGCCACCACTCCACGCTGGTCCTCTCCCCTCTGACCTGGTTCTCTCCCCGACAGACTGTATCTGGGAAACCCTATGGACCCTCCCGACCTGCTGAGCGTGGAACTGAGCACCTCCCGCCCCACCCAGCATCTGGGAAGGGTGAAAAGTAAGAGCCCCCAACTCCAGGACCTCCCCGAGTTCATCGGCTGCCCTGGGGCACTGTCGTCTCAGGCCAACCCTGAGCCGGCTGTTCTGGCTCTGAGACAGTTGGGTCCGCGCAGCAGGGGGACAGCTGTGTCCCTGGCTCCAGCTGGGCGTGGGGTGGAAGATGAGAGGCAGCTGTATCCGCTGAGGTGGGCCTCCTCCGTGGGTCCTGCGCTGGCCTGCCCTCCTCAGCTCTGTCCACCTTCCTCCTTCCCGCCGTGCTCAGAGCCTGGTCTTCCTCACCCACCCTAATCCCGCTCTCCTCTCCCAAGCCAAAACCACCCTACAGGCTTCATCTTGGCTGGGAGCCTCATCCACCCCCCGGATCCTGGGCCTGTCGTTCCGGAACGGAACACAGTCTTCCCCATCCTGCCGCCCCATTGCCTCCCATTGCTCTTGGGTTTGTACGTTCACTCGCTCCTATTCACTGTGCGCACTCTCTCTCTCTCTCCACTCTGCCCTCATGTCTGGCTTTGTCTTCTTCCTCCCTTGTCCTCTTGTCTGTGCTACCCTGCCCCCCTCTACTCTCTGCATGGCCTTCCTGCAGGGGAGCCTCCACCTCGCCCACCTCAGCCTGCCATCTTCACTCAGAGTAAGTGGGGCTGCTCTCGGTGCCTTGGCCCCTGCCCCCGGCCCCTCTCTCCTCTCCTTCCTTCTCTCCTCCTGGAAGGTACAGAGTCCTCGTAGCCGGCTGGGTGGGAGGGGAGCTGGTGTGTGCTGTGAGCTTTTGCTGCTGACCTGGCCCAGCATGCCTGCCTCTCCCCCCAACCCCCTGGAGCCCGGGCTCCTGGAGCAATTGTGTGGTCCTGGAACCCACCTCTGCCTCTCTCCACCATTGCCTGGTCTGCTCACTCCCTTTGGGACCTGCAGAGGCTGGGCCCCCATGACGGTGGTTCAGGGGCTCCTGTTGCTCTTGATGGTGGGAGGTTGCCCATAGCCCCCTGCCTGCACTAATGGCGTGCTGTAATGGGTGGGCTAGGGCTACTAACCCGGGCCCGGGGGCAGGGGCGTTTGGTGTCTTCTGTTGATGGAGGGGATGTCAGAGGCAGGCGGGTGTGGAGTGTCGCTTGTTCTAGCTGAGATGGAGACGGGCTTACCCACCCACATAGAGCCCTAACTATCCAGAGCAGACTCTGCCCTGCTGTGTGAATGGGGTCAGTGTGCACTGAGAACCTGGCAGCTGAGGGCTGATCTCCAGGGGAAGTTGGTGGGGACACTTGGCTTTTTGTCCACACCCCACCTTTCCTGTCCCCCTGCCTGATGCCACCTCCCTGTTGGGGGTCTCTCTTCCATTGCAGAACCAACCTATGACCCCGTGAGCGAGGACCAAGACCCCCTGTCCAGTGAGTTCAAGAGGCTGGTCCTAAGGAAGCCAGGCCTGCCCCGTGGGCTGTGGCTGGCAAAGCCCTCGGCCCGGGTGCCGGGCACCAAGGCAGGCCGCGGTGGCAACGGCGAGGTCACACTCATTGACTTCGGCGAGGAGCCCGTGGTCCCGTCCCCACGGCCCTGTGCACCCTCACTGGCGCAGCTGGCCATGGATGCCTGCTCCCTGTTGGACAAGACCCCGCCGCAGAGCCCCACTCGGGCACTGCCCCGGCCCCTGCACCCCACGCCTGTGGTGGACTGGGATGCCCGCCCGCTGCCCCCGCCGCCCGCCTACGACGAAGTGGCCCAAGATGAGGACGACTTTGAGGTCTGCTCCATCAACAGCACCCTGGTGGGCGCAGGAGTCTCTCCCGGGTCCACCCAGAGTGAGACCGATTACTCCTTTGGGCCTGAGCAGACACGGTTCCTCCCTCCTTTGGAGGATAACCTGTTCCTCCCACCCCAGGGTGGGAGCAAGCCACCCACCTCAGCCCAGACCGAAGAGATCTTCCAGGCGCTGCAGCAGGAGTGCATGCGGCACCTGCAGGTCCCTGCTCGCTCGCTGGGCCCCTCACCCAGCCTGCTGAGCGACGACAAGCCCCAGGTGCCCCCACGGGTGCCCATCCCTCCGAGGCCCACGCGCCCACGTGGCGAGCTGTCTCCAGCCCCCTCAGGCGAGGAGGAGACAGGGCGGTGGCTTGGACCTGCCTCCCCTCCCCTGGTGCCTCCCCGGGAGCCTCTGTCCCCTCAAAGCTCAAGGACCCCCAGTCCCCTGGTGCCACGTGGCAGCTCCCCACTGCCACCCTGGCTCTCAAGCTCACCTGGGAAGACCATGCCCACCACCCAGAGCTTCGCCTCAGACCCCAAGTACGCCACACCCCAGGTGATCCAGGCCCCTGGCCCACGAGCTGGTCCCTGCATCCTGCCCATTGTCCGAGATGGCAAGAAGGTCAGCAGCACCCACTACTACCTGCTGCCCGAGCGCCCACCCTACCTGGAGCGCTACCAGCGCTTCCTGCGTGAGGCCCAGAGCCCTGAAGAGCCGGCCCCCCTGCCTGTGCCCCTGCTGCCCCCACCCAGCACCCCAGCCCCTGCTGCCCCCACTGCCACCGTTCGTCCCATGCCTCAGGCTGTCCCAGACCCCAAGGCCAACTTCTCCACCAACAACAGCAACCCAGGGGCCCGGCCACCAGCCTTGAGGGCCACTGCTCAACTGTCACAGAGGGGCTGCCCTGGGGACGGGCCAGAGGCTGGACGGCCAGCAGATAAGATCCAGATGGTGAGTACCAGGTCTGGCTGCTGGTTGAAGAGGGGCAGGGGCCCGAGGGCCCCAGAGGAAAGGACCCAAGTGGTGCTGACAGGTGGGTGGGTGTGCCCAGCTGCAGGCCATGGTGCATGGGGTGACCACAGAGGAGTGCCAGGCGGCCCTGCAGAGCCACAGCTGGAGCGTGCAGAGGGCTGCCCAGTATCTGAAGGTACCATCACCTCCTGCTCACTCTGGTTTTCAGGGACCCTGAAGACTGGTTCTGCTGTTCTCTCCCCCTCCTTACCCCCCTCTGGCTCTCCTCTGCCCCAACCCTGGCCTGGTGCCCTTTGGGCCCAGTGTGTCCCATGGCACCACCCTCTGCTCCTCAGGTGGAGCAGCTTTTTGGGTTGGGTCTGCGGCCACGAGGCGAATGCCACAAAGTGCTGGAGATGTTCGACTGGAACCTGGAGCAGGCCGGCTGCCACCTTCTGGGCTCCTGTGGCTCTGCTCACCACAAGTGAGTAAGCCCCACACCCTGCCACCTTCCTGTCCCCAGAGGGGTATGCTGGAGCACACCACTTGAGGGAAAAGCCCAACACCTCGCAAGCCACGCACAGCCAGGAGAGCCAGAGCTCCCCAGCCAGGAGGAGTGAAGGTGGGCCCAGGCCCAGGACACAAACAGCTCTGGGTGAAAACAGTCTCTCCTAAGTGCATTTATTGAGACTTCTAGCCGCTTGGTTCAAATGCTAATGAGTAAAAGAGGCAGGTGGAGGCTCTCCAGTTCCAGGGGGCTCTTGCCCTAACCCCTCCCACGGCACCCTGAGCGGCCTCCAGGGAGCCGCAGTCTAGGACGCAGTGATACTTCTCACCTCTGCATGTCAGTTCAGTTTAAAAGAGCATAGTTTTAATGCCTTTTTAAAGGAATGGCTAACCAAAAATAATCCATTGTTGTTCTTTAAAAAATTTAAGTGTATGTACGCGTATATATAACAAAATTAAGTTATATAAATAACATAGCGATATGTAGTATAAATATATGTACGTGAAGGTTTTGTCAAGTCAAAAAGTGGTGAAATGGGTACATCCCAGCATCACCCCTTGAGAGGCGCTGGTGGGGCGTGAGGTTTCAGAGTAGTTTGGCTGTGGCTGCAGACAGCTTGACTCGGAGCCCAGCCCCCTGCTCGTGCCCCGTGTGTGCATGTGTCCCGACCTCGCCGGGTTCTCCTCTGTAAAAAGTGTATCAGTGACGATGCCTACCGCATAGACATGATTCGAAGAACTAATGAGGGTTGCGTCTGTCACACCTCACAGCAAGTGTCTGGTGCACACGGCACCATTAGTAAATTCCTGCTAATTTGCATCCAGGTAAACTTAGGCTTTACTGTGCCTGCCACTCTTGGCTACTCTTACATGCAATCCACTGGACAGTCCGTATGCTGTTACACTGGCCGCTGTTGATGGAGGTGACTTTCTGGTTCCTTCTCCTCCTTTAGGCGCTGAGATGTCTGGAGAGCCAGAGGGTCTGCCCTGAAGGAATAACTTGAGCCTGTTCATCTGACAAAGGTGGGGATGCCCATCTCAGGCCTGGAGGACCTGCTGCCACCCGCTGCTCCCAGTGGCAGAGGGGGAGCCAAGGCAGCAGGAGGCTGGGAGCCCCGCCTTGCCTTCCTCCCTCACCCGGCGCCATCCCTACAACTTCGGTCCAGCCCTCGGTGCACCCCGCCTAGGTGCAGGAAGGAGCCCTGTGAAGGCAGGCCTGGGGGTGGCCTCATCAGGCCCTGCAGCTGACCTGTCTGGGGCTCCACCCCAGTGGGACCTGTGGCTGGAGTATATCCCCAAGCCCTGCCCACGGGGAAGCCAGGCTTGACCCCAGGCTGGAAGGTTGTGTTGGCCACATGGAAAGGTGGACCAGCACAGGACTGAGCCCTTCTCCAGGAAGCCCCTGGTGGGCAGTTGGGGTGTCGGACAGAATGTGACTTGTGGCCTTGCCATGGACATGTTATGGGACTTGGCTGGTCTTAGGATCTTGTGCCTGGAAATAGCCTGAGGTGGTTCAGGAAGCAGAGCAAATATGCCAGATAATTCTCTGGCAGGGACCAGGGCCCAAGGCCCCAGGGTTGGAAGGAGACCAAGGGGGCAGCTGCCCTCGAGGGACACCAGTGCTTCCTCTGTGACCCAACTCTTTCCCTGTGCTGTTCCGTGTTTTCCCACCAGCCTCTGTTGCCAAAGTTGCTGCCCCAGTTATGGATTCCTGCTTCTTCCAGAGAAATAAAATTAGTTTCTATTTTATGTTACTTCCTTGTGCCTGCCTGTGTCTCTTTGCCTCTTGGTCAGCTAACTGAGGCCCTAGGGTGCCCCCAAGCCACCACCCTCTGCCTAGGGCAGCAGGCCCCATAGCACCACCCGTGGACAGAGGGAGGAAGTGCAGGCCTGGTTGATTCTAAGGGGTCTCTCCCCTTATGGGGCTGGCAGAGGGGCAGAGCCCCCACCTGAGATGTCGTCACTGGTTCACAGTCCCCAAGTTTTTGCTCTGGAGTTCCGTTAGGCAGGATATACTGCAGGAGAGAGTGCAGCAATTCAGCTAGAGCTAAGCCAAGAAACTTTAGGAACAAGGAAGGTTTCAGTATATATAATTTTGTTTTTCTGAATAATATTTCACATGGTTCAAAATTCAAAAGGCACTAAAGAATATAGAGTGAAGTCTCCCACCCCAGCTGCCCGCCTCCCCAAAGGCTGACTATCACCAGTTTCTCATGTTTCTTGTTGGTTTTTTTTTTCACTTATTTTAAAGAGTTCCATAGGCACTGAAAGAGCTTCCCCATCCTTGTTTAGGGTTGCATGGATGTATGGATGTACCATAATCTATTTACCCAGGCCCCTTTTGATGAAGTGATAATTTGGTTGTTTCCAATCCTTTATAATGACAACTACTGTTGCAATCAATGGTGTATGTGGGTTATTTTTTATATGCAGCTGAAGGATGAGTTCCCAGAAGTGGGTCTCCTGAGTCGTGAAGAGTGTGTGCAATAATGACATTGCTGAATTGCTGTCCTTAGAAGAGGTTATTCCGGTTGTCACAGCCACTGGTGTGTGAGAGCTTTGCATGTGTTATAGAGCTTTCTGGTTTTAGCCAGTCTGACAGGTGGAAAATGGTGTCTCTGTAGTTTTAATTTGCATTTCTCGAATGAATGAACATTTAAAAAGATTAATTGGGCCATTTATATTTTCTTCTGTATGAGCTACCTATTAATATTTTTGGCCCATTTTAAAAAGTTAGATTATTAATCTGTTTCTCCCTGGTGTTTAGGAAATTACTGGATCAAGGAAATTAGCCCTTTGAGCTTTATGTCATATGATCACCTGAATTTCTGGAAAAGAAATAAATCACAAGTAAGCTGACAGCTTGGGTTTAATAAAAACCGGCCATTCAGGATAGGTCTGGGCCTCTCCTTTGTGTGTCTGCAGCTCAGGGTTGGTCTGTGTGGTGGGCCCTGGGGCCTGGGGAGGTCTGGAACCTTCAGATCCAACATGTTCTGCCTACCCTGTTCACTAAGACAGGAATTTCATTATATTGGGTTGTCGGAAAAGCCATGACATATCTTTTCTATATTTTTCTTTGCAAAAATGCCTCATGACTTTTCCGACAACCCAATATGTAACTGTGATTTTCAAAGTCCGGTCAAATATATATAAGGGGAAAAGTTAATATTAAGTAAACTTTGGGCATTGCTGCTAGACCTGGAATTCCATTCTCAGCTGTTTGATCTTGGAAAAGTTACTTAACCTTTCTGATCCTATAAACTGGGGGAGAGCAATTTCTGCTTTATAGAAGAACAGTCATGAGGATTAAATGAGGGCACGTGGGTAAAACATGGTGCTTAGTGCACGAACCATGGTAAGCATTTGAACTAATCATTATACATTCATGTTCCCGCCTGTCTCTACCAATCAATAACTCATACACTGACCACAACTCAGTGTATACAATTGTCTTCACATTTTTCCCTTAATTTTGGAGGAGAAACAATTTGTTCTTTTGCTGCAAACTCATTCCTATTTACAGATCATGGAGGTGTTCAACTCCATTTTAAAAAATGTCATTTTTGGGTAAACAGTGGCAAAGCTAATCCACTCCAGATAGATTTTTTTTTTTTGTAAGGAGGAGCACCAAAGCATCTGGGGGTCCCTCAGAGAACCAGAAAACCCAATGTACTTTTCTTGACAGACACACAGTTCCTTAAACCCCAGGGTTTCCTATTTTTCTCACTTCTAATCAGCCTGCCAGCTTTTGCCAGCATCTCCTGGGTTTATGGAAAAGATGATATTAAGGGAGGCTGTTGAAAAAGCTGACACAGGTTGGATTGGCAACATGGAGGAGCAGTAAATCATTGGGCACCTCCTCTGTGTCAAGCCCTGAAGTGCGGGACACGAGTTGAGCAGACAGACACAAGCCTGTGTCCCCAGGGACTGTGAAGTTACAGCAAGAGGATGGTTATGACACGCCAGGTGCCTTGAGAGCAGAGGAGGTGGCTTCCAGAGGAGGTGACATTGTGCTGAGTTGGCGGGGACGAATGGTCACATGCTAGGAAGTTGGGGGCACGGAAGCGTAGCGGGCGGAGGGAGCTGTGTGTGCAAGGCTGTGGACGGCACAAGCTGGCTTGTCCTAAGGGCTGATGTTCGGCCAGGCTAGCGCCCATTCTTCTGTTATGTTTTTGGGGTGGGTTGGAGATGGTTTTCATATGATCCTGGTGAGTGAGGCAGGCCTGGCTCATGAAGCCGCTGGTGTGAAATGCTGAGTTCTCTGACTTTGTAGACAAAGGGAGACAACAGAGGAGAATAAGAAATGATGTGGTAGGGGCCAGCCAAGTGGCGCGTTGGCTAGGAGTTGGCTTGGGACGCCAGCTCTGAGCAGCAGGGCCCTGGTTCAGATCCCACATGAGCCAGTGACGCTGCACCCTCTACAGCTAAGATGGTGAACAACAGCTCGACCTGGAGCTGGGCTGCTGTGAGGCATAGGCTGCAGTGGGGCTGGCCGGCAGCTGGTGTGCGCTTTCGTGAGCTGCCTTGAGTTGCCATGATAATACCAACATGGGCCAGTGAAGCGACGTCCTCCACAACTAGACTGAAGAACAAAAGGACAGCAACTTCTCTGTTCCCCTTCCCTGATTCCCCAACACTGTTCCCCTCCCACAATTTCCCAATAAAATCTTTAATAAAAAACAAAAAAGAAATGATGTGGTAGAATCTGTGTTTTTAAGAAACAGCTCCTCTTAAAAGTGGCTCACCGCTCCACTGCAGCCACGAGTGGAGGAAAGGTCCAGCACATGCGTCTCACTGCACACTGGGAACACAGGCGTTCATAATTTGAAGCAAATTTTTATAGAAATTTGAACTTGGGGAATAGAGAGGGACCACCAATTCCTGGAATCCTTGGCTAGAATAGGGGTTTCTGTAGGCCAATCCAGGGCCAGTGCTGGCCTAAGGTCAAGTTTTTACTGGCCTGAGGTGAAATAAAATGGACCACACAATTGAGCTTTTCTTAAAATGAAATGTATTCAATTGCAAGGACTGTCTTTGTTGAGATTTTTGGCTTCCTACATTTTTGGTATTGAAACAGCTATTCTTGTGTGGTGATTATAGTGGTAGTGGTGGTAGGTGGTAAATTTGTCCCCATGCCCTTATGTAGAAATGCTATGTCAGCATGCCCTCTCCAGCAATTATTTTAATGATCTCAGAAATCTTCAGAATCCCTAGGCACATGCTTTTGTGTTCGGCAGCACCACCTCTTGGCAACATGTGGCATTGCAGCCTCAGGCCGGCTGTCACGGGAGGGAGGGATAAGATTGTGTCAAGTTATTGCCTAATACCAGCAGTTAAGTCCAAAAGCTGCTGGCCCAGGCCCATGGGTGCGTAAAGGGCCTCATCCCAGGGAAGCTGGGAGGGGAAGAAACAGCTTCGCCCACCATCTGGAGGCCAGCTAGGATCTAATGCCAGGAAAAGGAACTAGGCGGGGGCTCTGAAGGAGGCCACTGCTAAACCTAGGGAAGAAACCGTGGGCTACCTGGGAGGATGTTGTGGGCTAAGGGAGAGCATGCAATCACTTGCCAGTGGAAAGTCCTGGGATGACACAAGTGCCCTTTAGGAAGCCCCACTTTTTCTTTTATGGTTGTCGTGCATGCTCATTGTTGAATTGGAACATTCAGAAAAGCACAATGAGAAACATTCCCCCGAAAGCTACTTGAAATTTTGAAAAGTTTTCTTCCTGTTCTGTTCCTGTGCACACATACATTGTATGTATCATGGTTTTATAAAAATAAGGTCATCCAGCTTGTACTGTTTTATAACCTGCCATTTTTACTTCATAGTTTATGCCACAAGCAGTTTTCTATATCTTTAAATTTGTCTTCTCAAATGATATTTAGACACTGAATATTTTTCATTCTATAGAAATTCTCTGTTATTTAACACGTTATTTTGTTAACTTTTTATTTTGTGACAAATTATTTTAACAAACATTACTAAATGGCTTTCCAGATCTTTTATTAAAACAAAACATATGTTTTTAAAGAGAGCACTTATATTTTGGAGATACGTTTTGAAATATTTCTGAATGAAGTTATCTGTTGAAAGTAGTCCAGATAATTGGAGGAAATGGGCCAGGAGTTGATAATTGTTGAGGCCGATGATGGGATATGAGGGCTCATTGTGCTACTGGACTTTAGAGGGTGAGTGAACCTTTCCACAATAAAAAGTTAAACAAAAATACATGCACTCTCCAGGGGGGGGAATTTCCACCAGTCCAGCTGTCTTCTCTGAAGCTGTCCCTTTGGAGGTTTCTCACTTTGTTCCTGCTGCCACCAGCAGGATGGCCCCCAGGGATGCATGGCTTCTGCTTTGCATCTCCCTTCTCGCCTCTGGGACAAGGTGGACAGAATCTCCTTCTCTTGCTGGCCTTTGTGAGTTAAGACAAGGTGGAGCATTACAAACCACTGAACCAAATTCTGAGGGAAACATCTGCAGTCTTGTCATCACAGCCTCATCACAGGCCCCATCCTGTGTGCTCACCCTTTATCCTGGGGCCTTGCTTCTTCAAGGGTGGCTTGAGGTCCAGTAGCATCGCCATTACCTGCGAACCTCTTAGAAATGCAGATCCCAGGCCCCATCCTGGGCCTACTGTCAGAATCTTCATTCTACCAAGATTCCTCTGGGATTTGCGGATGCAATAAAATGTGTAAAGCCTTGAACTTAGGCAGCTCCCCTCTAATCCCAAAGAGCTGGTGGGCACTGGGTGGCC